CCTGATGTGACTGGGGGTCTCCTCACAGGGCGGCAGGGCCGTGCTGGCCAGCCCCCAGCTGTGATTCTGGGGGACAAACATGTCCCCCAACAACCTGCAACCTCACCGGGGTGCCAGCTCCCTTCCCTCACATCTCAGCCCAGAGCAAAGGAGCCACCTGAGTCTGTCGGGGACGGGAACCGAAGGCAGGGGGGTCAGGAGACAGGCGACGGGAACCGACGGCAGGGGGTCAGGGGACGGGGGACGGGAACCGACGGCAGAGGGTCAGGGGACGGGGGACGGGAACCGACGGCAGGGGGTCAGGAGACGGGGACGGGAACCGACGGCAGGGGGTCAGGGGACGGGGGACGGGAACCGACGGCAGGGGGTCAGGGGACGGGACGGGAACCGACGGCAGGGGGTCAGGGGACGGGGGACGGGAACCGACGGCAGGGGGTCAGGGGACAGGGGACGGGAACCGACGGCAGGTGGGACAGGGGGCTGGCCAAGGGGTGCTAGGGAGGCCGATGCCCTGGTCCTGCCTCACGGCGGCTCTGAGGACAGGGCTGCACCCCACCCCACAGGGCTGGCATAGATGGCTGTGCAGTGCCCGGAGGGGACCCCGCCTCGGAGAAAATGCTTTTCTCCTGTTGGTAACAGTGTGAGCTCGGAGTCGGGGGCGGGGTTCAGACCCCAGCTCTATGCTGAGACAGCAGCTCAGCTCAGACCGGAGCCTGCCCCTCCCAGGACGCCCACAGGCTGTGAAGCGGGCGCCGACGCAGGGCCACCCCCACCCCCCAACCCCCACCCCCGTATGCCCTGGACGCGGCCGCTCTGCAGAGGGGCATCGTGTCTGACACAGCACACAGCGCTCCGGGGTCCCAGTCAGATGCCCGTCCCAACCATGCGGCCCGAGAACAAACCCGCGTTCCCCGGACGTCACAGGTGGAGGGCACGGGATGCCCACGGCTCCCTTAGCCGATGGTGCCCTGTGAGTGGCCACCTGCCGGAGCGTCTACAAACAAGGGCACAGGCGGGGAACTGCCGTGGAAACCCTGTGAGGCGTCCGGGCGCCTTCCGATTCACGGTCCACCGGCCTCGCTCCTGGCCAGCAGCCCAGAGGTGGCTTCACGCTGCGTCTCAGAAGGAGGCAGGCCTCCAAAGAACCCGGACAACTCTGTCAGCGCGGGGGGCGTGGGAAACACGTTCTTTCCCGACACAAGCTCACTCCTGGTCAGCAACCTGGGAAGCTTCTATGGCTGATGAGAGCCCTTTCTCCCTTCAATTCACCCACCGAACCCACAGATCGAGTCCGGACAGCTGTGACCCTCCTGGGAGACAGTCGACAGCCCCCCGCTACACAGACACAGCTGGGACAGACAGACACCACACAGGACCGAGGTGAGGCACGGAGGGCTTCCTGGAGGCGGTGATGCCTTGATGGGGAGGACGCCCAGGTGTCCGGAGACGGACACGAAGTGCAGAGGCAGGAGGAGCTGCAGAGGCAAGAGGAGCTGCAGGGGCAGGAGGAGCTGCAGGGGCAGGGGGAGCTGCAGGGGCAGGAGGAGGCTGTTCCGGGCAGAGACGACAGCAGGTGTGGAGCCCCGGACGGCAGAGAGGGAGCCGCTGGGAGGTGAGCAGGGAGAGGGAGGCAGGTGCAGGCGGGCACCGGGCACAGCCCCCGAGAACCTGGAGGCACAACAGGTCTGAGAGGGAAGAGTGGGCTCAGACTTCCGCTTCTAAGAGATTATCCCTGGCGACAGGTAGAGAATCAATCAAAGGGGAGCAAGATCAAGGGAGCAGCCGGGGTCCAGGCGGGAGACGGGGTGGAGGCTGATTTCGCTCCCCAGGGGACCTGCAGCAGGGTCCCTGGGCAGAGGCCGGGGTGCTGCTCCCCACCCTCCAGAGCCCAGAACCCCCCACACAGAGCCCACAGGTGAACGGGGCTGAGGTCCAGAAGCCCCAGGGTGGGAACAGGGGTCAGCTGATGGGGTGAGGGGCCGCGCACGCCCTCACGCTCAGGATCTCAGGTGGACGGCGCAGCAGAGCAGAGGGAGCCGAGGACGGGCCCCAAGTTCTCCAGTCCAAGGAGCTAAGCCCGGAGCCTGGGGAGCTCTGCGTGTGCGCCCTGGTGGATTTGTCGGGGAGGGAAGCTGAGGCGGGGGCAGCGCTCTCCACTCACGGAGCCCAGCGTCGCCTGTGCAGCCCACGGGAGGCTCTGCGTCCCTTAGAGATGCCCCCCAGGCCGGCTCACGGCCTGTGCCGCGCTCGGAAGTCTGGGTTCCAGAACGTGCCCTGGTCGCCCCCAGAACGTTTAGGGGAAGAATGAACCACAGGCAGAGGAACCCGGCGCGTCTCACGTGGCTGCCTCACCTGTTCCGCTGGAAAGCTACCAGGTGTGACAGGTGGACCAGCCTCGCCGGGAGCTTGTCGCAAACACAGACCTCAGGTTCCTAACGGGTCAGAACCGCGCAGTGAGACTCGGGACCTGCCTGAACAGCTCTCCGGCGACTCCGGTCTGGGGACTTTGAGACGCGCTGCCCTCGCTCGACCCAACAACAGGACGGACCTGCGCCCTCGGCCGCGTGAACCAGCGCACTTTGCGACGAGGGCCGGGCCCGGAAGAACTGGCGTCTTCCAAGGGCGTCTTCCCCCTTCGCCGGCACCAGAGATGTGAATGAACTGTCAGCACGAAGGTTTCTGGATGCCGACCCTTCCGCCTTTGGGAGAATAAACAGGGCCCAGCCCATCCAGTGAGGCAGGACAGCAAGGGCCAGGAGGGTGGACCGGGACCAGAGGAGCTTCCCGGAGGCCTGGCTGGGGCCCAGGGGCTGAGGCCCGAGAGGAAGCTGCACTGCTCTCGGCTGGGCCGTCCCTGCTGGGCGGGCCCCAAGGAGCACAGCAGCTGGGCTTTGACTCTGGAGACTCCGCAAACCCAGGAGGCAGCGACTGGTCCCCGAGCTAAACACCCGACCGGCCCAGCTCAGCGCCTCGAACACATCCAGTTTCCACTCAAGGGCCCTGAGTGTTGATTCAGAGGGAATGTACCCAAACCCTCCAGAAAGAAAACAGAAAGGCAAGAAAAATAATAAACCAGCCTAACAATGAATGACGCGTCAGCCCCGGGGAGCAAATGGCTCATTTATAAACAAGTATCACGGAAAACCAGGCAGAGTCCAGAGGCCAGCGCAGAGGCAGGACGCAGACCGCTGAAGGCCTGGACCCGGCGCCTGCTGAAGGCCCGGCCCTGCCCTGCTGGGGTGACTTGCGGTCTCTCCAGCCCTTTGTAGCCTGCGGTCCTGGGTGAGCTCTGAGCTGTAAATATTTGCCCTGTGCCCAGAGCGGCCAGCTGCTAGGCTGCAGCTGACAGGCAGGCAGGGGCCAGGCAGGGGGGCTGGAAAACTTGCAGCCTGGTGTGCTCGGGAGGGGGGCTGGGAGGCTCGGGAGGAAAAGCAGACGCAGGCCTGGGGCCCTGGGGCAGATACGAGCTCCTCCACGGAGCATATGGACAGGCAGCCAGAGTGGCAGCTGCTGCTGTCCCGCCCCCCTTGTTAAAAGCGTGGCCTTTGCAACCAGGAGACCCTGGTTCTCAGGGACAACCCCCCCAGAACACTGGACCATATCTGGAGATATTTTTGGTTGTCAAAACTTGTGTGTGGGGGGTGCTCCTGGATGTAGCGGGTAGAAGCCAGGAATGCGACCAAAGGGCCCACAATGAAGAGGCACGGGCGGACCGTCAGGAGGCCCGGCCAGAGCTCCGAGGCAGAGCCCGGTGCCTCTGCCCGGGCGGCTGCTCGCTCTGGGAGCTCTGCCCCTCTCTGAGCTGCCTGCTCACTGAACCCATGAAGCAGGTAACGCAAGAGGTGCCGGCAACCATCGCTGAAACACAGTCAACAATAAGCGGAACCTGTGGCTACACCCAGAGGCTTCAACAGCGGTGAAGGGCTGGGGCTGGGGAGACGGCTCCTGCGGGTCCAGAGCCCTGGCACCTGGAAGCTGGGAGCAGGCCCAGGACGGCCTCTGGGGCCCTGGGTGTGCACCCAGGAGGAGCACCTCGGCCCCCTCGCCGCCGGAATGGCAAGGAAACAGCTGAGAGGCGCTCAGCACGGAGCCCGCAGGGCAAAGTCGCCCTCAGACTGGTGTAATTACACCGCCTCCCAGGGCCAGGGGAGGGCAGGGGTGTTAAGGTAATTGCAGGCACAGTTGAGCACTTACCCCACCCCCACCCCGGGCACCGCGCCAGGCCCTGCTCACAACACTCCCTCCTGAAGGCTCCGAGCAACCACTCCACCTCTTCGGGACTGATGCACCTGGACGAAGCCACAGGGCCACCCAGCTGGCCAGCCAGAAGCCCAGGTTCTACCACAGTTCAAATCCACAGGGCGCTCTCACTGAGCACTTGGTATTTGGTGCCGGTTCCTTTAATTCTTTCTGGAATCCCCGGCTGAACCCCACAGAGGGTGCCTGGCTGTGTTTCATCCCTGTCACAGCTCCGGGAACACAGACTCCCAGCTTGAGAGCCGGTCAGCAGCTCGCTCAAGGTCAGCAGCTGCTGCCAGCAAAGCCCACGCCTGAATCCAGCCCTCCCTGAAGAGGCCTCTCTTCTGGCCTCCGGTACGCTGGCCTGTAGCTCACCCCGCGTGCCAAATCTGAGCGTGTGTCACGTGTGTAGGGTCCACGTTTTCCCACCTTAACGCGGTTGAGAGACTGCCCCCAAGACACCCTAGCTGGTGTGAGCAGCACAACTTGAACCTGCCCTGGCTCCCCCCGGCTGTGGCTCTTTCTGTCTTTCCAGGCCCCTGAAGTTGCCGGACCGTATTTCACCCTGTGCGCCTCGTAATGCGTAGGGACCAGAGTGTCCAAGTCGGGCTGACTCAGTGCCCTTGCTCCTGGGGATACGGTGGCAAGCAGCCACGGGGGGGCAGGACGCTCCTGGGCAGCCCACGGCATCCTAGTGCCCTGGGGCCGGGACAGGGAGGCGGCCTGGGAACTCGGGCCTGGCAGGGGTCGCAGGCGCCTACCTTGCCGCCAGCCGGCGCGGCCACGCAGCGGCTGAGAGAGTCCAGGCGCGCGCTGTACTCGGTGAACTTCTTCTGGTAGCGCAGGGCGGTCATCTGCAGCTCCAGCTGCGCCGCGGCCAACTGCGCCACCAGCGACTTCTCCCGCTTGCCCGCGCGCAGCGCCTCCTTCTTGAGCGCCTTGTGCAGCGCGGCGAGCCGGGCCTGCAGCGCGCCGTTGTGCGCCCGCAGGGCCCGGGCGCAGCAGTGGCCGCCGGCGCGCAGCTCCCCGCGCGTCAGCGGCAGCCCGCAGCCCTCCTGGCAGCGGCCCACGGGCCTCGCGTCGCACGCGTCCCGCATGTGCGCCTCCAGGTCGCGCCGCGGCAGCACCTGGGCGCACCCCGCGTGGCGGCAGCGCGCGGGCGCAAAGTCGCAGCGCTCCAGGTGCTCGGGCAGCTCCTGAAGCTTGACCACCCGGCCGCAGCCCCGCGCCGCGTGCGCGCACTTGATGTCCAGCTTGAGGATGAGGCGCTTGAGCGGCAGCACGTGGTTGAGCTCCTTGGCCGACAGGCGGCCGCGGCAGCGCGCGGGGCAGCTGCCCTCCTGCACCACCCAGGGCAGCACGCAGCCGGCGCAGAAGACGTGGCCGCACGGCGTGGTCAGCGGGTCCTCCAGCACCTTGCGGCACAGCGCGCACTTCAGGTCCGGGTCCACGTCGCCGTCGAAGCGGTCCAGCTCGAAGCCCATGGTGGGGCCGGGCCCGGGGCGCCGCCGGGCAGCTGCGCGAGGAGCGCAGACCCGGCCGCGCGCGCGCTCGCCCCGGACTGAGCCCAACTCCGCAGACTTCTCGGAAGAGGCTCTGGGCTCCTCCGCCGTATTTGCGCGAGCGCGAGCGCACCCACATCCCGCCGGGGCCGCCCGCCCGCTCGCCCGCTGCTCCGGGAGGCGGCCGGGGGGCCGAGGGCGCGGGGAGGCCCCGGTCGCCGAGGGGCCGGGCCCCCAGGACGCAGCCGGCGCCCTCCCTGCGGGGACTCCGCTCGCCCGCCCGCACGTTTCGCTTCAGGAGGCAAATTGCAGCCGAGAGAAGCTCGCGGACTGCGGAGTGGAGGCTGCCGTCGCCCCGCCCGGCGTCGCGGAGCCCTTCCGGGACCCCCGCCCCCGAGCGGCCCGCCCCGCCCCCGCCCCTCCCCCTCCCGCCCCCCTCGGCGGCGGCGGCGGCGGAAAGCGCGGGGGCCGCTATGCCGGCACTTACGGTCGCGCCGACTTGGTCCGGGCGGGTGGGGAGCCCGCGGCCGGGCCGGCTCTGCCCGCGTCGGCGGCCCGTCCCCACCGGACACCTCCAGCCGGGAAGCTGGGGCCGGGACCGGCCGGAGGGGTCCCGCAGGGCCGTGGGGGGCAGCGATGCTCGGACCGTCAGGCGGGTGCGGGTTCTGACCGCGGGTCTGCGGGCTCCGGGTGACCCAGCTTCCTGCCCGGCCCGCGCGGTTCTCCGGAGCCCGGCCTCCCCGTGGGGTCCGCCCGCAGCCCCCAGCAAAGCCTCTGGTGTCGGAGGAAGACCTGGGGTCCCAGCCTCACCTGGATGGTCAGCCGGGAGGCGGGAAGCTGGACCTTCGGCTGCCTGGCTCTGTGCGGCTCTGGCCTGCGGGCCGGACAGCAGCTCCTTCGGTCCGGCGCTTTGCTTCAGCTCTGGCTGCGGAGCCCCCGTTGCTGTTGAACCGCCTCCCGCGGGAAGCACCGCCGGCCGGCAGCAGGGCCTGGGGCCGTCGAAGCGGCCACTGGGCAGGTCTGCAGTCGGGTTGGGCTCTGGGGCCTCTTTGTGGGCTCTCCTGTGGTCCCGCTGCCCGGGCCGGACCGCGGACTCTGTGCCCAGGTAAGCACCTGCCCCTCCGCACGAGTGCGTCTGCGAGGCCACCCAGCGTCTCAGCTAAGGGGCAGAACCCGGTCCTGTCCACAAAGGTGTGTGGGCTCCTCATGGTCTCGGGGTGGGCTGGTGTCCAGGGTGACGGCCCTGAACCCACTGGGTCTGGGAATGGGCACAGCCTGGCGCACCCGGGGGGGGGGGGGCAGGTTGGTGCTTACTGTGGGTGCAGCTTCCCTGAGAGCTGTGGCCACCCCACAGCAGACCAGAGGTGGGTGAAGTGCTGCAGCTGAGCCCAGGGCGGGGAGAGGGTGGGGGCCTGGGCTGCGCCCCTTCAGGCAAAGCAGGGTCTGTCTGAGCAGCTCCTCCTTGGCTGACTTTAGTATCAGGACAAAACCCCACAATGTCAGTGTTGGCAGACCACACATACTTCTTAGTGGCTGAATTTAACAGACTGGGGACTCAGAATCTAGAGGAGCCCATTCCTGGGGGGAGTCGGATCACAGTGGGGTGAGTGTCACTTGACGGATGAGAAGGAGCCAGTGACAACCACAGGACAGGACTGGGAGGCGCTGAGGTTAGTGTAAGTCAGAGCAGGGCCGGAACTTACCACAGGGGAGGCGGGAGCAGAGTCCCGTAGGGGCCGAGAAGGGGCAGGAGCCAAGCCCCGGGCATGAAGGGCTCACCTGGCGAGGACTTTGATGGGATCGAGCTGGTTCTGGGGGGCACAGCAGGGCTTCAGACAGCCAGGGGCAGGGCTGATCCGGTCTCGTTCCATCGGAGTGGGGGCTCCGTGTCCACGTGACACCTCATGTTGGACGAGGTGGGGCTCCCTGATCCTGCTCCCTGTAAACTCCGCTTTAGGGTCCTACTCACAGGTCGTCGCCTCTGGCACCAGGGGTCAGCATCACAGAGCGTCCTGTTTGGGACACACACCAGCAGGTATGACACGGTTCCCCTAACAAAGTGTGTCCTGAATTCTAAACAACCGTCACAGGACAGCTGGGTCACGTGCTGTGAATCGGCAGAATCCCCACAGGCATCGCCTCACACCCGCTGGGATGGCTGATGTCGGACAGACGGACAGTGAAAGGCAGGCGAGGACGTGGAGACCTTGGAACTTCCCCCATGGCTGGGGCGCTGCCCACAGGGCCCCTCCATGCAGAACGGCCTGGCTGGTGCTCAGGGTGTTCACTGGGGGGCGGCGCGTGGCCCCCAGTTCCACTCCTCAGCAGGCTCCCACGAGAACTGAGAACGAACATCTACAGACACTCAGGCAGCGTGGTCACGGCAGAAGTCCCGAGGGCCCATGGGACCTGCGCGGCCCTGGGCAGGCTCGCTCCCAGGAGGTCTCCATGCACCGCACAGGCCCACCAGGTCCCAGCATCCTTCCCCCAGCGGTTCCCCTAAAGGTCCTGCCTTAGGTCCTGCACCCGTTCCTGAGTGGGGTTGGGGCAGTGGGGCTCAACCACAATGAGGGCAGAGGACGGAGTGGCCCAGAGAGATGCCCGGAAGGCTTAACCCTGTGGCACCCAGGTCCTCCCGGAGGGGATGAGCACACCACCGACAGGTGCGCTGTGGACCCGGAATGCAGCTCAGGCAGGCCGGGGCGCTCAGCGGCGTCAGTGCACCCTGACCTCAGCGATCGGGAAGCTGTCACGCTGGACACTGCCTCACGGGACGCAGTTCACCCAGATGTTCACTCGTCCAGACACATCTGTCAGGGTCACAGAACATCGGAGACCCTTGATCTCCTAAGCAGGACAAAGTAAGGAACACGGTTTAAAGAGTGAAGACCCGCGATGACACGGAATCCCCACCAAGAGCCGGTCATCACAGTCCGGCCAGCGCGGCTCAGTGGTTGAGCGTCGACCCTGCACCAAGAGGTCACCGGTTCGATTCCCGGTCAGGGCACATGCCCAGGTTGTGGGCCTGATCCCCAGTGGGGGGCGTGCAGGAGGCGGTCAGTTGATGTTCTCTCATCAACGTTTCTATCTCTCTCTCCCTCTCCCTTCCTCTCTCTCCAAAATCAATAAAGGGAAAAAAACTTTTTTAAAAAAAGCTGGTCACCACAGATGTACGGGAAGGGATAAAGTCATAAAAACGGGTGGTTTCCATTCATAAATGAAAAACAGAATCCCGGCACTGGTTTCATTAATAAATCGAACATTTTTAATTTGGAAAGTCTGTTTTGCAATATTCAAGTTTCGCTTTACAGCACTTTTTTTTTTTTAAATAAGCACTTTAAAGTCCTTGCTACGCAGGCCTGTGATCTAGGAACTCGTTAATGCTAATTTTTCTCCTGGCAGCCTCACACCCTCATTTACTCCGTTGGTAAAATTATGATAATGATAATCCGTGCTCGCCCAGCAGACGGTACCACTTGCTAATTGACTAATGTTTAAGTGTGGAAACCCCTGCAGACCTGGTGCAGGTGCTCAGGGCAGTCGCTTCCAGCTGCGGGACGGTCGCCCTGCGTCCCCGTGTTGCCCAGGCGCATGCGGGCGCAGAGGGGAGCTCAGGGCACCCGCCGCGGGCCCCTTGCAGCCACACACAGGTCTCAGCTCAGACCAGTGGCTTCCCGAGTGCCCGCCCCTGGCCTGCGACACCCAACTGTTTCCATTTGAATACCATCGGGCCTGGGCCCTATGAAACGAGAGACCTGCCCATCGTTTTGGAGTTTTGTCCCCCCCCCCCTATTTTTTTATCTTTATGACCAAAGAATAACTTTTCTTACGCTGGGAGGGCTTTAGGCAAAGCATTCTCGAGATGTCAGCCAACCAGGCGCAGTGTGATGTCACCTGTCTTTGAAGATCTGTCCTGAAGCTGTGGTTCGGGTGCCCAGAGAAAAGCCACAGTGGCCTGGTGTCCGAGCATAACGTCTGCTGCGTGTCAGCCGACGGAGGCACCTGAACCCTTCACGCCGTGTCCTGCTCTGTGCAGGAACAGACACGAAGGCTTCGCGCAGCTGGCCGAGGGCTTCCTCCCAGGGCCAAGCCGTCACGGGAAAACTCCGGCAGCGTGTTCTGTGCCGGGGAAGATGTGTCCAGACCCTGGCAGATGGCAGCAGCACCCACGTTCTGCTGGCGGCGAGGGCCTCAGAAGTGGGTCCCCACAGATGAAAGCGCCCAGAGGCCCGGAGCCGCTGCCCTGTGGGAACCTCTGCAGTAACTTATAATTTGTCTGTGGGCTGCGCCAGCCGGAGATGCAGATAAGCCAGAGCCAGGGCTCAGCCTGGCTCCTGGTCCCGAGCTACCCAGGCCCGTGGCTCTCCAGACCGGAGGTGAGGACAGCGTGTGCCGGCTCCGTGCTCTGCGCCTCGTCTTGTTTTCCAGATTGTAACCCACTAGCCGGTGGGGACGACCCAGTTGTAAATGGAATTGGGGTGAAGCTAAGAACTGAACACACCCAGGAGGTGACAGAAGCCGGGAGAGCCCCCCGGGAAAGCGAAAGAGAGGCTCACACTTCACACTTCACTTGGGGGCTGCGTTCTCCTCTCCAGGCAGACCCCCCCTTCCCCCGCCGATGGATTTCCGCCTTCCACAAAACCTCAAACACAACTGTTAGACATCCGCTCCCCTTCGGACAAAGCGACACAGCCGTCAGAGCGAAGGTGAGGACCGTGGGTGAGAACACTCTGGAACCTGGAGGTTGTGACGACTGAGTTACTTCCAAGGACCAGCAAGAGAGGGACATGAGTGTTTGCTCTTTCTTGGACCTGGGAGGGTCTCTCCAGCCCACTGTCCGCTGGCCTGTCTGGCGGTTGGAGCCGCTCGCCTTCCACGGACCTTGTGGCTGGTTGGAGCCCGGGGTCCTCTGGTGCAGGCTACAGAGAGCGGTCGGTCTGTGGCCTCCGGCCTCAGTGCCGGGCCACCACTCTGCAGGCACA